TGATGATGATTTTATTGATCCATCTTTAGTTTAAAAATACAATGGATTTACAACAATGTCTATTAAAAGAGAAGATCATAACTAGGTATGCAATAATATTTACAAACTATCGGAAATTTTTATATGTACAATTTGGAGTAAAAATTTAAAAGTCTAGGGAATTAGTAAAAGTTAATAAAAACCAAGTTAAGTTTTAATGCAACCCCTGTCTCATTGCTCATGGGATAAAACTATTTCTGTGTCGTTCAGTGCCTGAAAAAGGTGCGTATTTAAATATACCGTCTCTACGCCTAAGATTATAGTTATGTTTATTATGTTCCATAGTTCGTTGATAAAAGATATGACTTGGATCACCTAAGATAGTATCGAGTTCTCTCGATGTGGCTTCAATTCTTCTCTCTTCGAGAGTTGGCAGGTAACCATGCGGGAGGCCAATAATTCGTAGACTCCTCCTTTGCACACGTTCCAATTCGTCCTTTAGATATCGTGGCAGACCACCCCACACTGGAGAACAATATTCAAGGATAGGCCTGATTTTAGTTAAATAAGTGGTGAGACCCACTTCGACTGGTAGATTCGCTCTTCTACATTCTCGTAGGCAGTACAGGTTTTTAGCTGCTTTGCGAGTGGTCTCCTCGACATGTTTATTCCATTTCAGGTCCTTTTGAAACCAGGTTCCCAAGAGTTTGAAATTATCGACTCTTTCTATGATAGCATCTCCTATACGCAGTGGTAGAGGGGGCGGTGCTTCGGTGAAGTTAATCCACATATCTTTAGTCTTTTTGGAATTCAGTTCCATTTTATTTTCCACAGCCCAACTTTGCACTGAGTTCAACGACGTGTGGGTGTCGTTCATAAGTTGGTGTGATGCCATAAATACATGGCCTTTTTGGATTGGTTTTAGATTTTGAAGCATTTTGTTTCTGAAGTTGCTTTTCTACGCTGTTTTTTAAATTTTCTATTGCAGTTAAGAGCTGATTTTGTCGTGCAAATCGCTAGATTCTCCTAATCTTATGGACGTATCCATGGTGCAATCGTCCGCATATTTGGTTGTGTTGACACATGCCTGTTCAGAAACATTTTCCTCCATATCGTTAATATGTATGTTGAATAGGGTCGGCGAGATAGCAGATCCCTGAGGGACGCCGGCTAGGCATGATGCAGTAAAGGATAGTACTTCTTGGAGATTTACCTGTTGTGTTCTTCCTTCCAGAAAACTCATTATCCATAACCAGAAACTCCTTGTTACATTCATATCAGCAAGCTTGTCCAGAAGGATCTTATGGTCGACCAAGTCAAACGCCTTCCGGAAATCAACAAATAGGGCGTGGACACCTTGTCTACCGGTCGAGGAGTTGTCCGTTGAGTCGAACCAGTTCTGAGATATGGAGGTAAGGGCAGACACGGTGGAGTGACCGCTCGTGAAAGCGTGCTGGTTTGTTTTGATCTTGAAACTGGATATATTGAGTTGGAGCTGTAGCTTCTCGATAATTTTTGCTACTTGTGGTAGCACGGAAACTTGGCGGAAGTCATTATCTAGGTCTGTGGGTGGACGGATCTTTGGTATGGGACTGATGATTGCATGCTTGTAGGAGGTGGGATATTTGCATTGAACTATGCTTGCAACCACAATATCGTGGACCACTGGTGCTAATTCTTCTGCGTACCGTTTAAGACACCATGCAGGAATATTATCCGACCCAGTGGCTTTCCTAGGATTTCGGTGTTTTAGGACGGTTTTGACTTGGCCAATGGATGGTAGAGGTGGGTGGCTGTCCTTGAGCAAATGCTCTACCGCTTGAAGTCTGGGAAGATCTGGTTGAATTCCTAGCCATATATATATATATATATATATATATATATATATATATATATATATATATATATATATATATATATATATATATATATATATATATATATACCGGGTGTCCCAAAAAAAAGTACTCCGGTTTGATTTATAATAACTTCTAAATAAGTAAAGCTATCAAACAGAAATAACTTGCATTAAATAGAGGAAGGACTAACTTAGATTTTGATATATTACAGTTGTATTTAACTTAAAAATTCACGGATATATTAATGTTAAAAATGGGGAGCATATTTTGGAATGTGTCTAAAATTAGCGAAAATCGGCATATCAAATATTAACTCCAGCGTTTGTTTGCTTAATGACATATTAGGCTAACTTGTATTTCAGCGAATTATCGTTAAGGTTTGTAAGGGATATGGCGTAGATTTAGACATCTTACATGTAAGTCTTAGCTCATTGTTTCCTGAAATATGAACGTTCGAAATTATGCAAGTATTTAATATTAGGTCTTTGCAAACTTAAATGTACATGAAAGACTGACCATGGAAGGCAGGCGCTTAAATTTTTCGTATTCTTAAATAGCCTAATTTTTTTATGTTTTTAATAGGTTCAAACAGACTGAGTAGATTATTTCTCGGTTAGAGCAGGATGAATATTCTTTATTGAAGGAAATAATATTGCTTTTTGCAAATACACATCACCGTATCAACGCTACTATTTTGTTACGTTTTGTTCCAAAAATGTTGCATGTCTCTGGGGAGTTGCTTAATTGTTATGTCTTATGGAGTTGTATGGTTTGATTGTGTTTCATATAATTCTCAGTTTACTCCATGAACTTGCCAAGATTAAGAAACGGCAAAAGAGTTTGGGTGTTCTTAACAAGATTTCAGAACGTTGCAGAAGTTAGAAGAGCTTCACAATTCCGTTGTGACAGCATGCCCTAATTCAGAACTACGAACGATCCAATGACGATCCTTCGCGATGCAGTGGTCTCATGAAATAAGGAAACGTATTCGTGCTAGGAACACACGCGAATTTCGGACGAATGAATCTTGCTTGTATTTTGTAGATATAATAATACTTTGTTTCATAATAAACAATTTGTCAAGTGTCATTTATTTACTGGTAATAGTGCATGTTTCAGTCGGGCAAATCTTGATTAATATTTGATACGCCGATTTTTGCATATTTCAGACACATCCAGAAATATCCTCCCGAATTTAAAGATTAATATCTCCGTGAATTTTTAAGTGAAATACAACTGTAATATATCAAAGTCTAAGTTAGTCCTTCCTCTATTTGATGCAAGTTATTTCTCTTTAAAAGCTATACTTGTTTAGATGTTATTACGAATCAAACAGGAGTACTTTTTTTTGGGCCACCCGGTATATATATATATATAGATGGCATTTATTTCATCACGCAGTACAAACTAAGCTGGAGAGGTTTACAGCAGGGGCGTAATTGCTAGTAATCAGTCCAAATACTTAACTACTATTACATCTACATCTACATCTAGAACTAATGCATCTACAACTACTGTGCATTAGGTATTTACAAAAGTTAAACTAAACGCTTCAAAAGAAAATTGAAGACTTTAGTGGGTAACTAGCTGGTTGTCATGACAACCATATAAACGTAAAAAAATGTTTGCTTAGGTGAGTTTGTTGAATCACCTCTGACATATTAGACTTGCTTCTTTTTGCTATCATCCTTAGCTAAACAAGCTGAATTCCATGTAAACTGCAAGGAAAGACTTTAAACTCAGTTTGCTAATTTAAGAATTAAGTTGAATACTAGGACATTCCAAAAAGTGATATAAATTATTTCTAACGTTTTGTTGTGCACTATTTGTTACGAATTTATCACAACCAATGTTATTACTGCACATTATTGCTGTTTCAGTGTCACTATACACACTTTCACTTTATCACCGCAAAAATTGGTTATCACTGCACGCTAAAATTAGGTATGAAGAAGGGAAGGCTGCTTTCGGTATTCTATAGTATCCTTTAAAACGTAACTTACTGTTCAATGCAGATCTGCAAGTAAGTTGTAACAAGGTCGGTTGTTGTCAAACCGATATCAGAATGTGTTTGCACTGCTTGTTGCTAGTTGTTGTGACAAGTCGACAAGTCTTGAATTTGTTGTTATCACCTACTTGTTACAAGGTTGATGACGGTATAAAGGATGTATGCTACAATTACAAATTGTTCCAACAAGATTAACGCCCGTATTCTAAAAAGCTCACTCACACTCAATGAGTGGAGGTTCAATCTGAACTTTTCTTGAGTGTCAATGCTGTTTTTGAATAGCTGGAGGGTGAGTAGTCACATAGTAAGGTACGACACTGACCCTCCAGCTATTCAAAAACAGCACCGGCACTCAAGAGAAGCTCATATTGAACCTCCACTCATTGAGTGCGAGTGACCTTTAGAATACAGGCGTAATACAGGTTGTTCTTAACATGTCGCTACGAGCTTGTTTTGATCGATCAACTTGTTAACAACTTTGTACGTGCAGATCTTGTTGGAACAACTTGTTGCAAGTCTGTTTGGCTCATCAACGTAACTTGTTTCAAGGAGATAACAACTTCTTCCAGACTTGCTAACAACTAATTGGAACAAGCATGCAGTGCGCAAAAAGATGTTTCGACAAGCTTCAAGATTTTTGAGCGTGTAGTGCAAGTACGGTAATATACGCATGCAAGTCTTGTGTATATGCGTGGCTGACGAAACAGATTTCATGAAGTTTTGCATTTGAAATCTGTTTAATTTAAAGGCGATTTTCGATGACAGTTCGCACGGTAGCGGGCTGCCGAACCAATCAAATGCCTTTTCCGTGAATGGCAAATATTTCGTCCACATATTTCGCATACAATAGCGTTTTGGTCGTGGTTAGGCCGGTTAGGGTTGTAATCATAGAGATTATAAAAGGATAGAGTGTGCATTGTGTGGAAGTCGAGGGACAAATTGAAGCTTCCTAGCTAATGGGGAAAAATAACGCTCTCTGCATGATTAGCTAAAATCTCGCTGGCCGATTGTAAATGCTCATTCCCAGATGCAAAGCCGCGATGTTAAGGAGGAACGAGAAATTGCGGAAAAAATACAACTTTGAAAACATCGACTTTTTCTAATTTTAACGTAGTTAAAGCAAGGACTAAAAGCTCAAAATCAACAATATACCTGGACGTTTAATACAAATTAAACATGTTTTTTGCAAACGGTGGAAAGTGCTTTTTTCGATGTTGAAGAGCGCGGTGTATCCTTCAGGAATGAATACTAAAATTGTAGCCAAAAGGTGGAAAAATAGATTCTCTTGGTTTTACATCCAGGTAAACTCAAATTTACCCCCATTAGCAAGCCTCAATTTGTCCCTTTGGTTTGCCTGAACTTTTCCTGCAATGTCCACTCTATATTCCTACATATAATCTCTATGGTTGTGATTGCGGTCACGATCAAGGAAAAATATATTCGTAGGCAACTATAAGTCTCCATCATGCAGTCTTCGGTCAGTCGTCTGGATCAGATTCCACTAACAATGTAATTTCAAATATCGTATGTTAACGTGTCTCTGATATCTGCCGCAGATAAATCAGGGCGCTATATATAAAACACAGTGTGTTACAGCTCTGTGGACCCAGATAAATGCATTGTGCCAACGTATATGTTTATCAGTCACTATCAACTTACTGCTTAGAGATGAATGAAGCTCGTAGACCAAACCATTCTTAGGCCATCTGTTTCCTTTGAAATGTTTAAGAACAGCTCGCTTTGACCGCTTACTCTTAGCCTTGCTAAAAAGTAGTTGAGCTTCGGATCTTTTTAATCTAATGTCACCTTGAAATAGCACATAACCATCGTCTTTCTTTGATGTACCTGCATAACATGTGTAGGTTAACGACATTTCTATGAGGGCGGTGGTTTCCGAGATGGGCCAAAATCTCGAGTGACTTTATTTTAAAGGCACTAAAAACACTTTAAGGCACTTAAGGCACCTTTTTAAGGTCATTCCAATAGAATTTAGTTCCTCGTCCAGCACGTCTACCAGACTAAGCATTATTGACGCCTTCGTTACATTATTTGATATATATTCCAGGGAATATACGACTGAAAAACTTCATGACTCGTCGCATCAAGGTCAGCGGTAAAATTCTGACCGTTTGGTCATCCGCACTCGTTTCAATGGGACAATGCAATGCAAAAGCAGCAGTTGTTATACGATAATGTCAAAAATGTGTATTGTTGTGAAAACCGTGTTTTTTAATTAACTAGCTTGAATTCAGATCATGACAAAATTAGTATTGTTTTTGTATTTCAAATAATAAATAATGATATGATAAAAGCATATAGGACGGCAACGCTAGGTTGTAAACGAACTCGTTGAACTAAATGATTGCAAGGAAAGCCATTCGATCGTCTATTATCCATCGTATGCACTTAATACCGATACTAAGACAAGGATTAATTTTATGGTTGAGAAGAGTCCATAGGATTCAATTTGAAATAACTGTTGTTCCAGCTTGAAATGTAGCCGTTGTACACAATTAAGACGTGATAATCTGTGTTTGCCGTTGCAAACAGAATAGACAGATTTAGATCGAGGACACGGACGTCGTGAAAATGGCGTGGCATATCCATACATGGGCACAACACACCATTTTCACGTCGTCTTTGACGTCCGCGTCCTCGATCTAAATCTGTCTAATGTTTCAACGACGACGACATCTAAGAGATCTTTTAAACAATCATTTCTTAAAACTTTCTACAATATCATGATTGTCATTACTGACTAAAGCCGTTTCCATACGGTCGTAACGTTCGTAAAAATTGAGTCACGATCTTTCTCATCAGCCGAAATACGACATTTGAGAACCGTAAAAATACACAGAGTGATTATAACTTTAGAGAATACTTATGATTTATATGTGGTTTACAGGAATAAACTATTATAAACTGTCCCGGCATTGAGAAAGATCGTGACTCTATTATTACGAACGTTAACATTACGACCAAATGGAAATCAGGCTTATTAAATGTCCATCCGCTTCGTCGTTGCATTTGGATTCTTCTAACTTCTTGCTTAAAGTTTCTAATATTGGCAGTTTATAGTTTTTGAAGTGTAAAACTTAAGGCTGTTCTAATTGTCATGTAAGATTAAACCTTGCATAAGTTCGTTAATTCGGGAGTCGTCTGAGGACGGATGGAAAACTAAAATCTCCGGCATTTGGAATGGCCTATAATTTTAAGTGCATGTGATTCTCTTCTTCTGATGCATGTGAACAAGTAGGTGAATTATATGAATGTTCTGAGTGTATGTATACTTTCATCAGATCATTCATAACTCATCCACTCGTTCTCATCCGTCGAAAGAAGAAAATCCACCTAAATTCGCAGCAAAAATTCGTATTCCAAAGTGGTACTTATATCGCGTGTGGGGCAGGGAGGAGGTAACGGGGACTGGGTAATTAATAGGCAAACTTTGGATTGATAGGGATGCAACTACCTGAAAAATACAAGAAGAACTTCAGCGTTTGGAGCGAAGGTAGTAGCATCCCTATCAACCCCAAATTTTGCTTATTATTGGCACTACCCGGCACAGGCAGACCGTTCAAGATTAATTTACAAACACTGGATAATTTATACAGCGAGATTGAAGGAAAAATTAAATTTCTCAGTATTGCGAGATTTCTCAACCTGGGAGATTTGCCTACAGGTCCTTTACCATGACTAATAAATTAATGACGAATATTGCTGTCGATGGCATTTAAGGATTGAAGCCCTGATCTGGGTACTATAGATTACACTGCTGCAGAAACTTTCAAGATTTCGATGTTTCCTGTAATCTTTCTAAGTGTGCCTCTCTCCTCCCCGAAGCGAAATACTTTTAAATGCAATTGAGGTCAGTGAATTGAGCGAGGCAATAAATGAATTCGATCGGATATTGTTTAAATAAAGAGCATTACTGATTTTTCTATATTTACCTCTCTCCCGAGCATTAGTGAAAATTATCTTCTCAAACGTCGTTAGATTTTGGGTCAATGTATTTTGTCCGGGTTTTAAAACCTTCCATAATGCCTTCCAATTCTTTACATCTCCTTCCCTTCGTATGGACGGAGTTCGCAACTTAGCCCTAAGCCCTGAAGAATAAGACAGTCATATATGTATACCACTTTCATAATACGGATGGTTTACAGAATATGATTTCATGTGTGTCATAATAAGCTTTCTCATGCCTCGTTCAGATTTATTAAAAATTATATTTGTTAAAGGGATTTGTAATTGATGGAAATTTCGAGTGGAATTTTTATACATTTATTAGACTTAACGAGGAGCAGACGAACAATCAGTTCTCTGGCAGGAATCGAACTTGCGGTCCTGCGATTCCAGTGCAGCGCTATAACCAACTGCATGAGCTACAAATAGACAGTTCGGTCGCGCTCCGAACCACAAGCTCTGCATGTAAGGCGATACCAATGGCAATGTACGATGTAATACGGGTAAATATCAGTTTTTTTGAGTATCTCACTCAATAAAAGTAATTGTTGAAGGGATCCCTTCAAGAATGAGTTATATCGAGTAAGATTCCCCAATCCTTAAAAATTCTATCCAATTTCGGTCACAAAAACGACGCCGAGAAGGCTTATTAATTAAAATGTAAATAAATGAATATTTAAACTCGTCTTTACTATGAAAGTACGGTCTATAAAGATATGTCAATGATGCGTAACAGCTAATGTTATTAATATTATATGCATCAATCATAATAAATTCATATAATTATCTACTCGTAGAAAAGGTAAAAAGAAACAATTACCTGAAAACTGCGAAGATGTAACTAACAAAATCACAAAGACAGTTACGACGCCGGATAGCATTTTCGCAATCCGCGAATCTTGGCCTGCGTTGAAGAGCAAATACGATATGCATTATATACTCAAATATTACTTCATCTGAATTCGCCTGAATGCAAAATATTACGCGATTCAATATTTCCTTTTAAAGGCGCGGCAATTTAACAGCGCAAAGAGCATTCTCAAAAACATCCTTTCTTGCGTAACATTAATTGAAATCATCGTAAAAAAGTTCAGTTTGGGAAACTCGACTGAGCAATTTCTAAACCGAACAATTTTGCTACTGTTTCTTAACTTTCTTTATGTTAACTCTTAACTGCAGAGTATATAAGGGAGGGTGTACACTAGTAATACGGTGATATGTTCCAATATATGTCTCCTGGTAGCTGAAGATGTTTTGACTAAGAACAGGCATGAGAATGTATATTCATCGAAGTAGTTTAGTCTGGGAGGAGCTTATAAATAAAATCTCGCTTTCAGGCTTTCTGCTTGCATACAAACAGCACATGCATTGCCATGGGCATCTTTTAAACAGAAATAATGTCCAAAAGGCGGTTTGCGGTGAATTTATGCTGTGGTAACGTAAAATATCAGTCTGTAGCCAGAAGGTCTTTGAAATGGAACAGTATTGATCATCAAAATCTGCTGCTTAATTAACTTAATTTTGCCGAGATACAATAGAACCACGCCAACTCGAACTCGCATATGACCCGAACTCCCGATAACTCGAAGTAAATCCAATTTCCTCTGCAGGATTTGACTCAATTTTTACAGTAATTTACTCCAGGTAACTCGAACTCGCTTATAACTCGAACTCTTCGCGCTAACTGGAACAAATTTCATTTTCCCTTGGTCAAATTTAACTTGAACTGTATTTTTGGGACGTGGATCGGCAAACCTCAAAATGTCAGAACATATATAGCACATTGACAAGTCGGAAGAACAACAATTTAAACGGTATATAATACATAAAGGAAACACAAGTCGATAAAGAGATAAAAGGTTCAACAAAGATGCGTCGATCAGTACTGATCTAGCTGACACTATGATAGTAACCTGCGATCAGGCCTACTCAGGTTACCGTGATAGGGAGTGTTTAACTTGGTAACATTACTGAACTTTGTAAGTTCTTTAGAGCACAGCGTAATGCCTAATGGCTCACAATTGTGATGAATAACAAATACCTTATTAATTATTAACATAATAAACGAAATCCAACACCGACCCCAAACAATTCGAACAATTTTCACTTCCCTTTGGGAATTCGAGAAGTGGGGTTCTACTGTAGTTTGCCACGTAATAAGGTGGCGGCTCATAAATACAGTATTTTTATAAAATGGAAAATTCACGATTTAGATCCGTATTTTTGGACAATTATACTACTTGTTAAAAAAACAAAAAGTATCATACTGATGTGAAACAACATCTAAAAGGTTTGAATTTTTCACAAAAGTTACTCAACTGGTTGCTATCGCAACAATGACTTTCAAGATGGCGGATATTTTTGCTTTTTGAATGATCTAACGCGAAAACGAGATCGGTGACGCCATAATTTTATTTTCTACAGAATAATTTCTTAGTATATACTTAATAATCTCAAAAATTAAAAAAATTCTGTTGAGCCCAAAAAAATATTGCAAATAATCACAATTTTTTTTCCGGACATACAAAATTTTTTCTGGACATACCAAAAATTTTCTGCACATCAAAATTTGTTAACTTATTCCGTAATTTTAGTGAATTTAGCTAAATTTTTGCTAAAGTATTACGTTTTCATCCGAACCACTCTAATATTTTCGCTGCTTACGGAAACGATTTGCCGATAAAACCGTTATTTTGCCGATACGACATTTTCAGGCAGACAAAATAAACATTTAGACTGCCTCCCTGTTATTTTGTGTCCTCTTACGTATATAATAAATCGTTCTCTGATGACAGGTATACTTTCCGTGACCTATGGAAGATATCTGAAGTAAAACCAATGCTAACTGAAGATGGAGACCATGAGGTGGCCTCTAACAACTGACCACACTCACTCCTTGTTACAGTTCCAAACGTCTGCGAAAAAGGCTTATTAGATCCATAGCTGGAAACAATCGCTTATTGTCACACCAAAGCGAGAATAGAAGTTCTCATTTCACGGAGACTTTAAACATCTTGGTCAGTGACACTACGGTGTGGCCTATTAACACTTCATCCAAGAATATTAAAGGTGATGTAAAGTCCGTAATGTAAACAAACGCTTTGTTTACATTTTGAACTCAGTGCTACAAGTTGTAAAATATGATTAGATATATATTATACTGAATTTTTAACACTTTTCTGGTTCGTTATGCTTGTAAATGAATACAGACTAGAGATTCAATTCAAGAAAGTTCGGAAAGAGCGAAATATTAACAACATTCCAAAGGTTGCTCCCAACACCGCGGAAAAACGTCTGCGCATGCGTCAACCTTACCTGTAATAGTATTGCGAACTTGATGAGAAGCTGTTCCGAACGTTTCCGAAGGCTCAAAATGGCGGTAAAAAGGAGTGACTTCATTGTGCGTCTTTACAGCCAGATTTCGAGCGCAAAAATAAACATGTCATTCTAAAAACTAGGAATAAATACAGCCAGAAGGTTCAAGAAATTGTATTGTACAAGAACATGAACTAAAGGTGATTGTTGACAAATTTATCGTCTGAAACATTTTGTTTATCAACTAAGCAACGACAATTTCCGAATTTTCGTTTGAGATACATTTCTTTAAAAAAAACTGTGTCGCCAAATATAAAAAATTTCGTGTTCACAATAATTAAACTTTAGGATTTATTCTACAATTTGAGTGGGTTAAGAAGCTTAACTTTTCGAGAGTTTTCTTAACTTTTTAGTTTGAATTTTTGTTTTGAATAATTTTGCAAAAATTTTCGAAGTCGTGTCCGTTAAAATCAACAATTTTTTACATGAATTATATTTCATTCCATACTTTAAATGCCAGGACGCTTTCAATTAATGTCTAGTCTACCCATTTGCTATATTTTCTCGTTTGTTTTACTAATTTTTGACCAATTAATAAGCATGTTTTGTTTTAGAAATTGATATTCAAATTCCCCGCCATATTTTCATAATTTGGTGCATGCGCAGACGTTTTTCCGCGGTGTTGTTGCTCCCCCACTGATGGAATGTTTTGATGCGCAGAATATATGCGCAGAACGGACTTTACCGCATCTTTAAGAAACTTCAAGCCGTACAAAACTTCGCAATCAGTTTTTTGGCCCCTTTTATTAGTTTTAATGAAAATTCGTTAACGTATGTTTTACCATGCATGGAAGGTCACATATATTATATATGACCGTTGCGTAGTATGCAAAATTTTCGATAACCACTGAGTATTCTAATAAAATACAAAAGAATGGAAACTCCGAAGAAATTCATATTTTTAATTCGACGTTTCAACTACTGTTGAGTCATCATCAGGAATTAATGATGACTCAACAGTAGTCGAAACGTTGAATTAAAATTTAAAAATATGAATTTCTTCGGAGTTTCCATTGTTTTGTAGTATGCAATTGTCTGCAGTTGCATGTATTACATCACAATTCTCGAGCACATTTGCAGCAAATTTTGACGACAATTCAGAACAACTTCGTACATTTATCAATTATTCACCGAAGGCGAGGTGATTATCGGGGGAATATTAGCCTGAAAACAGACCCACGTTTAGCCCGCCCTAAAATTCGCGGAATTTTAGGGCGGGCGAAACGTAGGTATGTTTTCAGGCTAGGGAAATATTCACGGCCGAGACCAAGTCGAAGTGAATATTCCACGATAATAATTAAGCCTGAGGCGAATAATTGTTTTAGTATTTTTACACAAGTCTTGTGTAAAAGTATTTTTTACACAAGTCTTGTGTTTTTTGGGACTGAATTCACAACATTTAGCAGCTATAGTCACCTAATCCTGTAACCCTACCCTATACCGCTAACACTAGGTCCATGAAAATTTTACAAAATATATAATAATCGTCATTAATAAAGAACAATTCTGCATGTTCAGAGTAAAAATCGCTTGTTGCACTTTGGAAATTAAAGACTTTTAGATTTTATATAGGAGTATTTATTACACTGGCCAGTCATATTACACTGGCTAGCCAGTGTCACAGAATGCCCTTGCTGAAAATGCTGTCTTTTACTCTTTTTCGTGTGTTTTTTTTTTCTGTTGTCGCAAGTGCGACTTTCCATTGCGGCATCGTGGGCTCAGGTTGCGCAATTTAGCTAAAATACGCTCACGCTGATTAGGACCAATTCTACACATTGTTAATCAGAACCAATTTAGTATTTAACTACGTTACAAATATTACACGCTGTAATTGTGGGACGTATTTTAACATTTCATTGCGCATGCGCTGGAACTTTTCTCACTGAACTCTATTGGTTTTGTATGGATTTTTATTGTGCCATCCTCTGAATGTTTGTGATCATGAAGTGACGGTCGTCACGGTCGTCAAGAAGTGAAGAACATCTATATGTTTCAAATTATTTTTTAGAATATTGCGATGGTATTTTACCAATCGCGAGGCCAGTGTGAACGCCT